CAGTTTAATAGTGGAGATTGTAGTGGTGGGATGCGTTGATCACTTCATTTACTTGAGAGTTTGCATCAGCCTAGGTTTTTTGGCTGCTTTCGAGATGTCGTTTCGAATGCGGAAAGTCCTTTTGATATTTAGCGACATACGTCATCTCTCGCGTTGACTGATCTGATAAAAGATGAACATACCTCTCCGCAGTCTGTTCCATCCTGTTACGTTTTTGAAATATGGCGGTTGAAAATAAATAGCATGAAACCACAGGTGTTTGACCACAAATGTCTTTGTAACATTGCTCGTGTATGATTAAATCACCATACGAGTAATGTAGAGGTTAGGAGAAGGGTACTAATCTATGAATTTATAATTTTTTATTGACTAAGGTAGCTAGCACATGTACTTTGCATCTCGAGTCCACCTACGTCGACGTAGAGGGCTAGCAGAAGTTGGGTGAGATGGGAAGAGGGTTCAGGGTGGCTAGACCAAGATGTGCACCAGTTGACGGAGTCTATGTCGCCCTGAGCTATCTATGGAGTTGTAGAGTGCCATATTGGGGGTCCTCTAGACTGGCCATCGGAGTCAATGATTGGAGATGCTTGATGAAGTGGCTGGAAATTGGTCATAATGGTGTAGATGTTTTCACTCTTTAAAGTTTCGGGAGATTTTAACTAAGCTTCAGTCTTTAGATTCTTTCTCTTTACATGTACTTATAATCACTTCGATATCGCTCGTTTTCTATGCAATCGTTATTTGCACTTAAATTCTATAATTACATTGAAGGATTCCCCAGTTGTTTTTCCTGTACCCTTTTGTTGATTAGATAAGCGACCATCCTCCCACTGTTGTGATGTGTTTTCGACACACCGCTCCTCTGGTCTTGGTGTGCTAGAATCGATACTGCACTTGTAAACGTGATACTCGTTAATGGTGTTCGACTTGGAGTTTTGTTTATAGTCTGAAATTTGTCAGGGCGAAACTGATTCTTCATCTGTACCTGTTGTTCCACCGACTGCATCTCAGATGTAACTAAAGTTGGGTCTCACCACCAGTTTGGTGACCTCCACAATAGAGCCCGTTTAGCAGATATTGCAGTACTGGCTGAGGACTTGAATGCGTGGATCGAACGTCTAGACTCGAATAAGGGTTGTTGAGGTGTCTAGTGAGGATCAGTTTATCGCAGGCCTGATACTGGGAACTGTCTTCTCTGTGTGCAAATCATAACTTACTTATAACCGGGACCGATTTTGTGCTACTTGGCGTCTACCATTTGTTACTCAAGCCCATGCTCATGGTAGTCAGTGGATGTAGAATATATATTTTCCGTGTAAAATGAAATAAAGTAGGAGGATATACGTGTCATTTATGCTGATAGTTTAAATACAGGATGAGCTAACAATAATAAGTACTTTGGAAATCCCCATAAATCATAGAGCAAAAAACGTTCTGCGAAGTCACTCTTTTCGTTGACTCCTTTCTCAAGCTATACAATCTGTTATGAATATTACATTTACTCGGCAACAGAAAAGGAATGTTTCTAAAAACTTTGCACTAAGAAGGCACGTTTATGTCGTATTCTCGACACGTCTGGATCTTCTCACCAACGTGTTGTTCAATGGTTAGTTAAACTCTTGGAGACTATCAGAAGGCAAGTCTCGAGTCATTCGCTCCTTGATTCTCTCCATTTTGTCGACTTCATTGGTACTGCTAATTATTCTGGGAAGATTATGTACTCTTTAGAGGTCGTCCGATTATTTACAAGCGTCCCATTAAGTAAAACAGTGTTACATATGTGACTATCTGACCGTCTCTATCATTTTTACTTCAGCCTAATGCTCTTATATAATTCTGTGTAATGCTTTTACTTTTTTAATGTACTGAGTTCGCACATTTAAAAGAATTCAATATAATTCCTATTTTGGCCTCTTTGAATATTAACTGCATATGTGAGATGCCGGAATAAACTGAATTTGGTATTTTGTGTTAAGGATCGTAAGTCAATTGACCTGTATTATTCCTAGTAGTATGTATCTCTCCGAAGATAAAGTTTCTGTATGAAAGCGTTCACTAAAGGAGTTGCTACCACAATCTCCGGTAACAAGTTCCACTCGTAGTTTATTCGAGCATGGCTTTTGACCTTTTTTGTGATGGCATTTTAGGTAATCAATCGTAGAAGGAATAAAAAGATAGGGGGGGGGGGGTCAACACCCAGGTCGTTACTCACGATACAATATGCTGATATAAAATCATCCCTTTTCTTACGATATGATAATCGGTAAAGATTCAAACTTCCGAACTACTTTTTGTGCGGGAGGCGCGGAAATTCTGTCAGTAACTTAGTACCCACCCTTTATGTCCGTTCCAGAATGTGTGATTTTTTCTTCAAGCAGAAACCAACTGCCCGTATGTAGTATTTGTGGTGAAATCCTGCATAATTAGGATATATTATCGTAAATATCTCATCATTAAGGTAATTGAAAAGTCTACAGAGTGAACATGGCGTGCGAAATGCTTTGCCTACAATTGAGTTACAGTATGCTATTGTTTTCTAGTTATGGCTGAAAATATCCCCTAGATTCTTTTATTTCCTAACGCAACGCAATATTCACCTACCCATTGATTAAGAACAATAAGACTCTTGACTAGTGTGCATCGCTTCATACTTTCTGGGGTTGATTTCTGGACTCGCGTTTAGACCATTCGATCAACTCGTCTAAGTCGGTCTGGAGCCTTGACCTATCTTAATTATTATGAGGAACCTCCAAAACTTAACGTCGTCAGTAGATAGCAAGAACGATTCGAGCATACGTGGTAATTCATTAATATAGGACAGAAACAAAAGAGGTCCTAGTAGAGTGCCCCTGGATATCCTATTAGTAATCAGTTTCCATGTAGATTATGTAGATTATACTCTATATACTTTGACCTTTGTCTCCTGTCATGCTGGTAGTCCCTTAACTATACAGACGGACAGATAAAACATTCACCGTGGAATCTCGCACATAAGTCCATCTATTCACTTTGCCATAACTCACGATAGCATACAAAGAACAAGTAGATCGAAAAAATGTATCAAACTGAGCAAAGATATATGGAAGAGAAGGGGATTTAAAAATGAAGATTAGTTAAAACATTCAAGCTTTAGAAGACACCAAGGAGTGAATAAATCTGCGCTATTGTCGCCAATTTTCAGTCATTTCACCATAAGTCCTCAACCATTGATTCCTATGATTTCAAGGATCCCAGCCAGGTAGTCCACACCTTCCCACACACTCAGACCAACAGTTAGAGACTTCATAGACTGGTTCCATGTCTTAGTCTGGCCACCCTTAACCCTCTTCTAATCTAATTCAACTTCTGCTAGCACTGCATGTCGAGACAGGTGGCGGCTTGGCATAAGCAGTACATATCCAAGTCACCTCAATCGATGAGGGTTCACAGCCTCATCTATAGACTTACCACCCTTGCATATTGACGTGTTTACGAAAACCTGTAAGCTTTCAGAGCAAGCCTTAGTTGGACACCTTATCCAAATCCCTTGGTAGGGTCAGTAAACACCACACCAACAGGTAGTTAATTATTTTTACTTCCACTTATTCTTCTTTGGTTAAAAGTAAGTTCACTAGCGTGATCGTCTGGGTTGGAAACTGTGTTGCTTCTGTGCCAATAAGCCATGTTTCCACATGACTCGAGAATTCTTCCTTACATATCTCTGTGAGTGGTTCTTGGGTAATGTCAGCAACAACGTCGAGTCCAAATCACTAAGGCCAGGTGACTTAGCAGTTTTCACTTAATTCAGTATTCTAAGCACTACCCACCGAAATAGGAGACATTTTGAAGGCTTCAGCCGTGGCCGTATATAACATCTGTGTATTATTATCTAATGAAAAGACCCTAGTAAAGTATTTCGACGGGCTTTCAGTTTTTTTTCCACGTTCCATTCCATTAAGACGTCCAAGTTCCCATTAAGAAGTAGAGTGGGTATTCCATCACACCCCATGGTTCTCCACCTAATCTAAGACTAATTTCTTTTAGAACAGAATGGAGTCCTATAATAATTGCTTCTCGTGTTCAGTATGATGCTTTGCGGTAATCTAACTTATAAGTTACACAACCCATTTCGTTTAAATAAATCCAGTTCTTTCCTTCCTCCTTAACAACCTTATGATCTGATTATCTATCCAAGGAGATCTGTGAGTAGACCTCCGTGGTATCGAATAAGGCATGACGGCACTTTAGAACGCCGTCTTAAGTTCCTCCCAAGTCTTCTCAATAGTCCAGTTTCTATTGACAGACCAGTCCACTAAAGCTACTAAGTCCCTAATCGCCATCAATTTTGCTAGCTAAATATTTGGTTTCAAGAGGTTTGATTCATGAACTAAGTCGTAAGTTTTAAATCTAAAGAGAATACTAAGTGATCATTATATGTCACCAGTAAGAGGTACTGGGGATCACATCCTATTGATTGAAAACTAATTCCAATAGTAAATATCACCACTTCTCTCAAATGGATTTCCCCACTTAGTGGCGAATTTATGAAGTTCAGTGAAGGGAATTGAACATCACATGCTATCTTTAAGTTGAAACTTTAGTTTAGTTATTGATGATGGATAGTGGCTGGCGGTGAAATCCAGGATGTGTGTTTCTTCCTATTCGGGACTAGTCAGCTGGATGTACTTGCATCCTAGCGAGCGATGTTGTTCTCAAAGAGACCCAAACCCGAAATCAATCGTTTTAAACACCAGGCGTTATCCACTAGACCACTGAGTTACGATAGCCACTCCTTGTGTGACGGCCATGGTATAGATTTTATATTATAGCTTTTAAGTCTCCGTCGTTGGTTGGACCGAATTGCTCGGCCGCTGCTAAGTTACCGTGTGGTCGTTGTTGAAATTGGGAATTTCCACTGCATTGACATTTTGAAAATTGATTTATCTGACTTATCTGTTCTTCTCACGTGACAAGCTTACGGATAAACAGAACATAAACCAGATTCCTTATTCTACTTACAGTAACAAAACTGGGAAAATGGATCATTTGTCCTCTCTTGTTACCGTATTTTACTACTATCCGAGTATCTGGATTCTTCTGATTGTTGGTATATTGTACATAATTAAGAGACAATATTTTGGTCATTGTGAGTGTACTCTTCAAAATCGTTTGGATGGCAAAACGGTTATTGTCACAGGGTGCAATACAGGTATTGGTTTGGAAACGGTTGATGAGTTGGCTCGCCGTGGGGCACGAGTTATTATGGCATGCAGAGATCTGGGAAAGTGTAGATACGCTAAACAGGAGCTTTTGTCCAGGTACTGCTATAATAAGTCATCAACGTCACCTTTAGCACAAAATGTAATGGTAAAACCAGACCAGGTACGTTTACTATGTTTCTTTGCTATTGTTTACTTTACAAAAGTCAATACCATTATTTAAATTGGGCGAGAACAATAGTTTTAGCAGAATTGCATGAATCCATTTTATTTTGGGGTTCCTTATCAGCTGCGTACAACCTAAAACAATTTTAACATCAATTTATACAAAATACTTGGGCACTTGAATGAATTTGATCGAAAGTTATCTACTTGAAGAAGAAATAACGTTGAAAACATAAATTGAGTGAATAAATATACAAATATATACTTCACAGGTTTATTCAGTATTTTCCCGTATTTGTCACTAAATTTTTGTGGATATGCGTTATCATCGAGGCTTTTTTAACAAAAGTCATTTCGTCCTCCATTATCTCTTTTGAACAGAAATATCTTAGGCGGCTGAAAAATGTTTCCACCATTCCTTTCTTATATCTCGTGGGCCAAATCTGTTGAGATTGAGATACATCCCACTCCATGAATCTTTTGCGATATATAAATCTTCAAGTCGATAATTTTCTATCAAATTCATTCAAGTATGCAAACTTTTTGTATAAATTGACGTTAAAATTGTTTTAGGTGATAAACGCCTAAATAAGCGGATTCGTGCTATTCTGCTAAAACTGTTTTCCTAGCTGTATTTATATATATGAAGGGCAAGAATTATACGATAAGATTATGTTATGAATATAGTATGAGTTTCCCAATATCGAAATTGTCTTCTGAAAAAAGTCAACTGAAGAAGAATACTAGTCCATTCCGTTCATACAGAACACAAGTTTATATTCTGTGTAGGTCTTTATCGTATATATAAAGCTTAATATTAATTCACGAGCACTAGAATATCCTGGCCATTGTTTGATGCTGTATTTACTACTACAGATCCCACCAAGATCTTTCGTAATTCCAACGTTGTTAGTTGATCATCGTATGTAAATCTTGTTCATATTTTAGCCAGAGTCCAATATAACTTGGGCTACATGCTGATTTTGGTTCATCCGCTCTTCAATATTTCAATAATCAATTTTAAGCTGGTTTGCTATGTAAAAATGTTTATTAGTGCAAACTGCTGAGGATCGCGTGCATGCAGATGTTTATAAAAATATGAAGCCTGAAGCATGTGAACAGTTATGTGAATGTTAGTTCCATTTATGTAACAACTTTAGTGTACTTCATCTTGCTTATAGTGATCACACCACCGTACTTGAAAATTAGTCGTTATTCGTTTGATAGTCCCTTGTATGCCAATTCTGGTTCAGTTTTAGCGAACAAATTCTTTGCCGAACGTATTGTGATAGATCTAAAGCATGCAGGTGACAGCTCTGCATGTTGGGTGGTACACCGGCAAAATGCACTCCTGGGAAGTTCAGACAACTATATGAACATCGGGTGGTTTTCAATTCCTGTTAAAAAAGCCTGTTCATGAACTATTTAGTATGAATGTCTGACTTATCAGCAGAAAGTACTGACTAAGCGCGTGGGCAACTGTATCGAAAATTGTACCTCCCGTTGATGGGAATACTTACAAATTACATGTAATTCGGTGATTTTTAATAACTGCTTTCCCTTTTAGTTACGGAATATTACGCTTTTTAATTTCTACTTCTACATGATTTATAGTTTCAGCTCGGTCATAAAGCCGTTGAGTTATCAAGTCATTCTAGAGCCTTTCGCTTGACCTTTATTTTCCCTTTACCTGTGTCAGCAATTGTTTAAAATTTAATGCAGTCGGGAATCCGGACATTCTACACCATACTTTAGTGTCGTCTAGTTATAAGAACTTCACTGACTATCGAAATGTTCATATTGATATTATGTAAACACATAGATGTAACTCGAATTAATGTTCTTGAGATAATAATGAGTCATAAAACCGACACCGCTTGTAGTGCTACTGAGAACCAAGGGTATGTTGTGGAGTTACTGCATTTTATTTGGTAGTTAAAATGGATCTCGTTCACTGATTTTTGAAGACAGTGTTATCGAATGATGGGTAAATTCAGGTTAGAGAACGTTAACCGTTGGATATCGATGCTTTAATTGGTTGCAAATGTTTCAAGGACTATAATCCGATTCAATCCTTATTCACTTGTTACTGTAATAAAACACCTGTACGGTGCCTCATGGTTTTCTATCCAAAACTATTTGTAATTGAGGTTTGTATCGAAGCATTTATTAACTTTTGAAGTCATTGTTTTCTCCGCAGCTAATCTGTGAGGAGTTGGATTTAGAGTCACCTAAGTCTATTCGAGAATTCGCAGATCGTATCATCAGTAGAGAAAAATTAGTATCCATTCTAATTAACAATGCAGGAGCAGATTTCCCTGAAAAGTTATATGATGAAATTGGCATTGAAAAACATCTGAAAGTCAACCATTTGGGTCATTTTCTGCTTACTAAACTGTTGAAACCATGTTTACAAGCATTTGAAGGAGAATACTGTCGCATAATTATTCTATCCTCCTTTTCACACTGGTTTGCTAAATTGGATCCAAAAAGTGAAGATCTATCAGGCAGAGGTTCTGGATATGCAATTAGTAAACTATTGAATGTGGTTCATGCACGTGAAATTTGTAAACGTTGGTCTAACGATGGGATTGTCGCAGTCAGTGTTCATCCTGGTTTAGTGAGAACATCTATTTTTCGTTCTACTAAATGGAAATATGTAAGTTTTTTGTTTAAGATAGGTGTGTTTTGACATTTGTTTGTTCAGCGTTTCTGTTGCAATATCATATAAAGCTAGTACATATGTATTTTAATGATACTTCTGAGCATCTACTACTACTGAAATGGTTGGGTGTTTTTTGGAGCAACAGAAATGGAGGAGGCATCGTCATTGGTTAATACACGGTAGTTATTTAGGCTCATTAAAGATACTATGAAGAAGGAGACGATAGTCCGTAAAAAAACCCAGAAGAAATGACTCCCTGTAAGGATAGACAGTTAGAACGTTGGAGAGAACACTTTGAAAAACAGTTAAGCTTGTCGTTAGTCACACTTCAATTGCTCAAGATCCAACCCCAACTTGCGTAGGTTTATATGTACTAGTCTTCCAAATCTCACTGTTATTGAGAAATCTGTTTCAAACGTTAAACAATGCCGAGTAGTCAGACTTAACGCTTTGAATATCAAGGTGGAAAATTACCACAGAGAGTAACTGGGATACTAACTAGTGTATAATAATTAGCAGTTTGGGTGCAATTGCTTTTATTATCTGAAAAAACTAAGGATAGACACCCTGTTGTAATTGGTCAGAAATCTGAATTAAAGTCTTCATTTAAGTTCCTACCTTCCACTACCGATCTCAACTAAATGTGTCTGTGCAGATTTTCAAACAGGCTTATTTGATATAATTGTTGCACATTCCCATCATGAATAATTGAAGGTATTATCACAGCGTGGTTTGAAGTGACTCAACTTTCGTATTTTACGTTGAAGCTGGTTTTGAGCATTAAGGTTATCTATCTTGTGGGAAAAAGATGAAAGCTCATTCTGATTGCCTGTACTATTCATGTTATCATTCAGCATCGCTCTCAAGTATAATGAGATCCTTTCCAATACCGCAAGTACACTTTGGATATGTGTAACCTGTCTTCTTAATTCAAGCCATGCTAACATCGATCATATCTATCTCACACTAAAAATCTTTGACTCCGGTACTCTTGCAACTTGATCGGAAGGTGAGCACATGCCGTGGTCAAAAAGTGTGGTGATGAGTGTCCCGTTATCCAAATCCACCACAGTTTTGATAAGTTTGAATCATGGAGATAAGTTGAAGCTTTTAAGAGTTCCATTTAGATGCTTTAAATGTTTGAAACTTCTAGAGATCCAGAGACTATCAGAAAGGAGTGCATTGTTAGGAAGACGGGTGTGATCGATGACACCGCACTTTACTTCGTATCATTACAGCCAAATGCGCAACTGACTGACTGACAAAATCAACGTAGAACCTCGCACGTAAATACATCGACTTAAGTTACCACACTTCACAGTAGTCCACAAAGAACAGATGGATAGAAAAAGACTGATATCAAAGTAAATAAAGTAATGTAAAAGAATAAAGAATCTGAAAATAAAGGTTAGTGCGAATATTAAAACTCCAGAAGTGAACACATCTGCGCCACTGACTGGTTTTCATTAAGAGTCCTTAACCACTGATACCTTTCTTCTTGGGGACTCTAACCGGACCATCCCCACACAGCTTAGACCAGCAGCTAGAAATTTCATCAGCTGGTGCCAGGTCTTGATCTGCTCATCCTGAACCCTCTTCCAACCTAATCCAACTCCCCCTAGCTTGACATGTCGAGGTAGGTGGTGGCTCTGGATGCTCAGAACTTGTCCAAGCCATCTCAGTCAACTAAGGTTCACAACCACGTCAATTGACTTGCTTGGTTCCTTTCGCCTAACCTCGCCACTGCTCACATGGTGATTCTACCAAACGCGAACAATGCTACGAAGATACCTGTGATCAAAACCCTGTAGCTGATTCATATCTTCTATTTTTAACGGCCATGTTTCACAGTCGTATAACAGGACAGAACGGACTACAGCGCAGTAGTTCCGTTCCTTGATAGATAGTTGCATATCTCGCCAGTCAGCACCACAGACGATGCAAGTTGGCAAATACCGAACGGGCTTTCTGCATCCGAGCTGAAATTTTGTCAGCAACCAACTCAAGTAAGTGATGTGATCGACACACTCCACCACTTCACTCTTATCATTAAACTTTGAGTGGTTGCAGTTCTGGAGGGTCATCTTACATTTGACAGGTGCCAGCAAAACATACTACACACCTTCATAAGATCCTATCTTTTGTCAGTGTCTTCACTTAGCAAGGCAGTTTCTTCTGCATACTCAAAGTCAACCAGATAGTAGGTGAATCCCTGTGAAGTCAGATGTTCCTTAGGTTAAGTTTATTAGTATCGTCTTCAACTAAGTTAAATAGGAACACGGACGGTGCGCATCCCTGGCGGACACCGTTAGTTGTCGTTAACTGACATGAAAACTCTCCATAAGCCTTTACACCGCTATGTGATTTCAATTCGAGAGCTTTGACTAGCGTTATATACTTGCTCGGTACTCCCTTCACACTCAGATACCGTCACGACACCTCAGGGTCGACAGAGTCAAATGCCGCCTCCAGGTCAATAAATATGTGGCAAGTACCGGTCTGTGGGAATCAGGCCTATGTTCCAGGAACTGTCAGAGAGTGAAAATCCGACCGGTGCACTCTCCCGTTCAGACCTGAAACATGTGTGATTTCCTCTAGTTTGCTGTTCTTGATCTCCAGTTAGGCGTCGGATAACTATAGACCCTGGGATTTCGGACGTGATGTTAGTCAAACAGACTCAGCTACGTTTATCACAAGAAGATTTCTCTCCTGATAGACTAGGATGATCTGAGAAGTACACCAGTCTGACTGCACTACTTCTGATTCAGAAACACTTCAGTTGTCCATCAAACAGCCTAAACCTGGATTGAACGTAAAAGTCGGTCCTCCAACTCTCCATGCATTTGAGAAGGCTGGGTCAGACCTAAAACGATGCAAAACAGCTGGACCTGACAGTTTGCCACCTAAAGTTTCAGGGATGGAGGTAAAAAGTCATTGACCAGACTGACGGAGGTACTAAGCAGTGTATGGAGGAGGTAGTACCATCAGACTAGTGTACTTTACCTTTCATCCCAGTCTATCAAAATGGAGTGAGGTCTTTCTGTGACGATCATAAGGGAATTAGTTTGACTAACATCGCGTCCAAGATCCTTCGGTTCATAGTTAACGAATGCTTAACTGGAGCTCAAGAACAGCAAACTCTAGAAAACCAGTGAGGTTTCAGACCTGGACGAGTGTGGATCGACCAGATTTTCACTTCCCGACAGGCTCTGGAACACTGACATACTTTCTGGCGACCGACGCTTGCCGCATATTTGTTGGTCTGAAGGCGGGATTTGACGTTGTAGGCAGTGAGGTATTTTGGCAGTCTTTGACTGTAAAGGAAGTATCGAGCGAGTGTATAACACTAATCAAAACACACTGCTCGAATTCATGCAGCTGTGTAAGGGCTTATAGAGAGTTGTCATGAGATCATTGCAGTGGCTCTTGGTCAACGTCCGTTTAAGTTGAGTTCGCTCTCCATCACGGCCACCTGCAATCAGTCTTCTCGTATCAATCAGTTCGGATAACGTCGCAAAAATCCAGTGACCTTTGCTAACCTTCTGATGTAGGTTACCAATCGTCATTACTGCTGTTTCTACAGCAGACTTAATATCACGCCAAATTTCCTCAGGGTGAGCATTGTTGTAACGTATGAATGAATGCTTCGCTATCTCTTCCTTCAATGTCAACATGGTGTCCTCATCTTCCGATCAAGCACACATAGGCGTCGATGCCTCTTGTTTCGTGCGACCGGTAAGGCGCAGACACACAGGAGCTCGTACTAGTGCGTGATCGGTGTCCACACTGATACTCAAGAAAGAGAGGCAATCCTCCAACAATGACTGGCTTATACCAATGTGATCTATCTGTGTCCATCGTTGGTTTGATGTCGGTGGACACCATGTGAGACAGTATCTCTCCTTATGAGTATAGTTATTGCTGGTGTGAAACAGGTAATTGTCGGAACAGAATTGCAGGAGACCCAAATGTGCAACACAAATTGTTAATATAAGTATCCTTTATATGCGTTTATATTTCCTTTTGCTTCGAAGTTTCTTTAGCGGTTAAATTGGTTTTACGGGGTAGGGTTGCCAGCCCTATGCCCAACCTTCCTTCTTTATCCAGGCTTAGAACCGGCTAGTAACCAGTGAACCTACGCGGAGTACTACAAACCTTTATCAACCTCATTCAACAGCTATGTGCTACATGATGCAACATGCCAAGTAATCCACAATGGAGAGCTCAGTGACACCTTTGAAGTTAAGACAGGAGTAAGATAAGACTATCTACTACCACCCATGATCTTCCTGATTGTGGTCGACTGGTCTGGACTGGATCATGCAGCAAACCGTGAGGAGCGATAAAATGGGGATACGCTGGCTGGACAGATGAAAAGACCCTAGAAAATTTGGATTTCGCCAACGATGATTTGTGTCTAATGTCACATAAGCTTGAAGATCTACAGGCGAAAACCAACAAGTTCATAGAAGAGGCAGTGAAGACGGGACTTCCTTCAGGTGAACGTAGAGAAGACGGAGGTGATGAAGATACTCAACCAACAACAGCAACAATCACCTTGAACGGGAAAAACCTAAAGGAAGTAGCCTTTTTCACCTACCTAGGCGGGGCAGCATCGTTTCAACTTTGGGCGGCACAGGCACAGACGAGGATGTCAAAACCAGGATCGGAAAAACAGCAAGACAGCCTTCAATCTGAAGTCAGTGTGGAGATCTACTGCACTCAGCATAAAGCGTGAACAAGATCCGGATTTTCAACACTAATTCAGTCAAGTCAGTCAGTGCTTCTATATGATTCAGAAACTTGGTGCGTTACGAAAAGCATTTCCAACGAACTACAGACATTCATCAACAGCTGTCTGCGCACGTCACTGAGAATCATATGGATTGCCAGAAAGAATAAGAATAAGCAACAAGGCACTTTGGCTGGCTGGCTGGCTGGCAACGAACCAACTAAGAACCTATCAGCCAACAAATATGCAGAAGAAGATGGAGATGGAATGGGTATCGACTGAGAAGACAGTTCGGGACATCACGCACCAGGCCAGAGCAGGCCGTCGAGTGGAACCCGTATTGGAAACGACGAGTTGGGTGTCGCAGCTGAGGGTGACATGGAGGATATGGTGTGAGGAAGAAATGAAAGCTTGTGGGCAGTCGCTGTGCCAGGTTCAAAAGACTACAGAGAAGAGAGTGAAATGACGGTATACTAGTGAAGCCCTATGTCCAACTAGGACCCCAAGGGACAAATAATAGTAATAATAATTTATGTGGATTTCGTGCCAATCCTACTAGTTGTTCATCCAGGTGCATTATAAACATATGACTTCCTGGTCAATAAATCAGCCGCAACTCTCATAATGGGATGGTCAGCTCACATGCTTGAGGGAGTACGATTGTTTACTCGACTCGAAGCTTGGTCCTTTGAAACAACAAATTTGCAGACATAAGTAGTGAGCTTTTCAGTTGAGTTATTGAACAAAGATTATCGAATGCAAATTTAGACGGCGTTTGTGTATGAGTCACTGTCGTTTTAAAGAGCCTTGAAATCGTCTGACAAGAGCACTCACTCCTAAAAGATGTTATATCCAATAGTATTGTGGATAACATTACCCGAGTGTGAATATAAGTAAGTATCCCTGAAACACACCTGGTGCTGAACTAGCACATTAGTACATCAAGGCAACCCTGCGCTTCACCAACAGCTCTTGGGCGAGTGATATTCTTACCCATGTATGACGACAA